AATCAGGTCTAACCGAGCTGTCTGTCTGAAATCCTGATTCTTTAAACGCGTACACAGCTGAGTGAAGTGGCGATCATCTCGTGTACGCTGTGACTCGAAGTCGTTTACTTTTTCAAGGCATGTAAGTCATTCTGTCGGTAACAGGATATGTATCTTCCCAAATTCTATGGCTTTACTCTCTGAATAAAGTTTTCCATCGGAAGGAGGAATATGTCAGTCTGTGTTTCACGTCTCTATCTAGCATACATTTTACTATTGATTGATTGATGTAAGCGAAGTATGCCTGAATTCGCTACTCTTCACAGTAGTCCTTAGACACGGACATGTGAACTAAGAAAGAGTGTGTGTGTGATTCCGACAAATAGCACTATTTGCCGCACCTTACTGTCGCTAATAATGTAAACATCAGTGAATTTCACGCGAATGTGAAACGTGGTATACTTAGGTGAAGGCTCTCGACACCGGGATAAACTAATACCGATGCTGGTAGCATGTAATATATTCTTCCATTGAGAAGTTATTGTAGCCTTGCCACTCAGAGTTTGGATTTCTCTGGCTAAGCACTATATTAAGAAGATTGATGACTAAGGATTTTCCCTGAGAAATATTTTGTGATTCGTACGAGTCTGAGAAATAAGCTGTTAGTTGTTTGTGGACTAATAAAGTATTCCTTATTGAGTTTGGAAGACTTTAGTTACATAAAAGTAATTTGAATTTGTGGCCCAGAGTTATTCCCAGACATTCTGAATACACTTTGCTAATAAACTCAACTGACTGACGTGATAGATTAAATTCGAATTCAATATATGGTGACCTTTGTGGAAGTAAAGATGAAAAAGAATGGAGGATGCTACTTTCTTTGTGAATTCTTTTGGTTAACTATATCTTTGTCATAGCTCTGCCGCTCTGATACCCTGGAGGAATAAGAACTACGCTTCCTGATTAAAATCTCCATACAAAAGGTTATCCACCGAGATTCATAGACAAAAACATGAAACAGAAACTTCAAAGGTGATAGATGACATCCGTGCCAAAAATGTTCCTTTATATGAACCTCTACTTCAAAGGGACCTATTCAATGATGTTTCTACGGGGAGAATTTCCACTTCTCTAAGAAGAACTTTCTTTGAGGCAAAATTGAAAGTAGTGTTCTCCAGTTGCCCGCTTATCTGCAGAATCCCAAAGGACAAGATTCCTCACCCTACCACTTCTATGTGTATATATCAGTTCACCTGTGCAGCCAGCCAGGTACATCGGTCGTTCGACGTGAATCCTATCAAAAAGGGTCCAAAAGCACTATCCGGCGGGGCTGCAGAAAGGAGGTATTGGCCGTATAAGGAGTGCAATAATCGAACATCTCGTCACCACTGGCCATTCCATCTCAACAAACGCCTACTTCGAAGTAATCGAAAAAGTGAAGACCACCGTGCCAAAGACAACACGTTTCTGTCTTCTTTGTATAGCAAAAGACCGGGAAGTCACTTGGAAGAAGCAGAACTATGCATACAAAAGAAAATTATTCAACCTCTTTTACTATCATAGTACCAACTCTGTTGATTTGACTTAACTTTCGATCGTTTGCTTATTTTTCTAACAACTTAAAACTATTGCGTAATTCCGTATATTATTTTGTTTCCATGTACACCCTGAGCACAACTCTTTCATCAAACTGTTCATGTTATTACGTACCTCTTCTGAGACAATCGTTTGTGACAACTCATCGCTTTTGTTACTATCCTCTTATATCAACATCCAATTCATCTGAACTTTCTAACTGAATTTTCGTTTGGCAAATTTAATGTATACACATACACATACAAAACAACCACATATATTTGCGATTGTACTGTTATGAAGAGGAATTTGCTGAATAGAGACTTCACTGAACAATTAGTCTTCTGTCTATTAATGTTCGAATGGGGATTATTAATGAACAGCAATAAAAGTCCCCTGATATCTGATAAATAATTCGTGCATGTTATGAAGTACAAAATATTAACACAGCACTAATTTCAAGCTGACATTTTACGTGTGAAACTGGAATATGTATAAAATTTGTTAGCTGATATTTTGAACACGTCTGTTAACATATGCGATTCGACAGTATAAATCATGTTGCTGATCCAATGAATCACATAATGTAAAATAATGTGAATCAAAATGCAGTCACTGTTAACCGGTTATACCTATTTTTTGGCAGTATTAATTTCAGTCCCAATGTTATTTATAACTCCTGAACTCCCCATATAATTCTGTTTTGTAGGATATTTCTGAAGAATATTTGGATTTCATCTTCTGATGTTTTAATCAGTAAACGTTTTATTTGTCATCCTTTGCCAATCAGTCTTCATATTAGCCAAATGGTCAATAATCAATGTACGAAGGCGTTTTTTTTGAAAACACAGAGATATGGCTAGTTCAGATGAATTCTGATCGATTCTACCGTACATAAAACTCGTACTCATCTTCAAAGTTCTTAATACCTCTCATCTTGGTTTGGCAGAGGTCAGAATAAACCTATACTCAGCTCCGTACTAGCTCATCTCATTATCGATACTGGACATCAAGTTGGCTCTAATAAAGCTTTTAAAAGTTATTCATCGTATATCCCCCATTGTCTATGAGTACGACTTTTACATAGAATACAGGCAATCAGATATTGTCTAGAGTATTTTCATTGACAGAACTTGTGTTTCTTCAAACCCCAGGATGACTGAATGATCTAGTTGACGAATGAATCATTAAGATTTTCGTATCATTCAGCTAATGTCTTGTAAAATTGATTGATATCTAATACACATCTGATTTTCAGAGCTTGGATTTTATTGGTCAAGCAGAACATAAAAAAGTTTTATGACTGATGATTTTTCCCGGAAAAAAGGTTCGTGATGAGAATGAACCTGGGAAATATGGTCCAAGTTAGCAATACGATGATATACTGCTCTTTAATGAATTCAGAAGACTTAACTTTAGTTACACAAATGTGATCGTACGTTGAACCTCCGAGTCATCACTCGTCACTCTGTATGACTTTTGATAATAATATCAACTGAATAACGAGACATTTCAACTTCTTATCCACTTATAGTGGAATTAGTAGAAGTTAAGATGAAAACGAATACAGGATGTCATTTTCTTTGTGAGTTCTTGAATTAACGAAGTCTTTATTTCATCAATAAACGTTCCGTGACACCTGATATGTTTCGTGCTTTGATGTAAAAAATATTAGCAAGATTGTGATTATTTTCCATAGTTAAAAATACACAAAACACTAATTTCTGGCGGACACTTTACGTGTGCATCGGTGGCACACCGGTTAGGATGCTTGTCGATCATGCACATGGTCCGGAGTTCAATCTCCGGCAGGCGCACACCTGATATCAATGGCTGGCCTTCTAAACATAAGCTACCGATGTCACATGATGACCTGAATCACAAATACTGTGTGAAATCAAGCTATAATAAAATAAAATAAATAAATCTATAAAAATTGTTTGCTGATATTTTGAACAGATCTATTAACAAATGTGGTCTAACAGCATAAATCATGTTGCTAATTCCCTGGATCAGGGAAAGAAAAATGAGATTGGATTTGTGACCTCTTTTTCTAACGTATTCGACTGATGTGAATTAAAACTCACTCTCTATTGACTGCTTATTTCTGTTTTTTTGGCGATATTAATCTTAGTCGCAATGCTATACCTCCTGAATAACCCGTATAATTCGTTTTTGTGTGACGAATATTTGATTTTTATCATCTTGGAGACCCTACTTTTGTCTTCAGGTTTTGTGGTCATTAAATCATTTTGTAAGTCATCTTTCGTTGTTCGGTCTACATATATATGTTCGGTCTACCAGATAGCCAAAAACTGATATAAGACATTTTCTATTGAACATGCTCAGATTTGGTTTGTTCAGATGAATTCTGATTGCCTTCGCTGCATGCAAAAGTCGTACTCGTAGACCATGAGAGAGGTGAGGTGAAATACGATAAATAACTTTAAAAGCTTTGTTAAAGTGAGTCGACTTGATGTCCATTATCGACAATGCGATGAGCTAGTGCTGATCTTTATTCGGACCTTTTCCAAACCAAGATGGGAGGTATCCAGAAATTTGACGATGAACAACTCTGATCTTGATTTGGCAAAGGTCTTCACAAAGCTATGTGCAGCTTGAAACTAGCTCACCTCGTTGATACTGGGCATCAAGTTGACTCTAACATTCTTTTGAAGTTTTTTCTAATCGTATTTGGCCCAACCTCTCGCATGGTTTACGCGTACGACCTTTACATACGTCGAAGGCAATCACAATTTGTCTAGGACATTTTCGTTGACAGAACTTGTGTGTTTTCGAACCTTGGATGACTAAATGATCTGTTTTTATTCCTTTGCGCTCCCAGTGTAACATAGGGCTTCAAGCTAGAGTTTTGAAATTCCTTTAGCAGTGGTGTTTATTTTTGTACAGGATTAGGTTGCTAGCTTCATGCCGAACCTTCCCGTCTCACCAGTCGTATTACTGGCTTAGCTAGGCAAAGTAGTGCATCGGTTAAGGATCAAGTCCCAAACCACATGCGGTATGGTTGGTGAGCGCTCTACAGCTGTGCCATCGACGCAACTAGATGGTCTAGGTGACTTAATATTGAGAATTTTCATTCATGTCATTCAGCCGATATCCTGTAGAAGTGATGTTGCCCAATAAACACCTGATTTCCATTTTTCGACTAAACTCTTATTCTCTTTGACACAACAATCTTATTTAGTTATGTCGAAAACTATTAAAAACAAAACAGACAAAAGTTTGAAGGTTTTCCAAAATACAATAAAATACACGCCCATAACTGACAAATCATAAAATTTCAGAATCATAAATTTAAAAAAAAATATGCATCACAAATCTCAAGTGAGACACCATTCAATGTCTTTATGATTGGTTCTAAAATCTTTAAGAAGCCTATATAAAACAACCTATAAACATAATTCTTTCAGTACTAATTCACATTCATGAATTTATTCGCTACCTTAATTTTGCTATTAGCCATTTCGAACACTGTAACATGTAAATTCATTTGTGGCAATCCTGATCCAACTCCCTTGGTACAATCACTTTATGATGCATATTTTCTCCTTCCATTTAGCAACATACAATAGAAGTTCAACAGGATAACACTGTGAAAAGAAGTGCACAACCCGCAAGCTTGAAGTTCTACATAACTTACCTTGATGGCTTTAACCAATTACAAGAGTCTCAGAGAATCAAGGTAATTCATAACATTAAAATTACATCTTCTCTACCGCCCTAACACTATATTTTATTGAAGTTTTTAAGACAGATTTCAGAGAAAAAGAGAAGAGGTTTAAACATGAGTTTTTTTACTGGAATATTTGATTAAATTGAAGTACATGATAGATCAATTTCCAATAACACTGTCACTGTTACTTGCGTAACAGCATTTAAATATAATATTAGTGCTTCTTTTAGTATTAAAAATATTTGACGCCTTTACTCGTCATTGATAAAGTTTCTGTGATTTTATTTCTTGTAGACACTAGTTGAAGATGCGACAAGATTCTGGGAAAGAGCATTGACAGTCAAAAATCCAGGAACTGGGAAGCAATTAGTAAAAAGGTAAGCATAAAATGCTTTCATGTTACTTTTTTGATTTCTCTTCAAAATCATCACTAGCCTTTCGATATATTTGCTTCAACTGAATCGAGTAGTTACTTTTTATTGTTATTTTTGCGAATTTTCTAAAAAATAATGGTTACTGAACAAAGAATATTTTTTCTGATGACTTCATTATCAGCTTCTACAGATATATATACATAATAGTAGTGAATGAATGATTGTTATTAACAACATTAGTGTCGTTTAAATAACATCAAATCCATAACAATAAACTGAATGTCAGAAAAATTAGGAAAAATAATAGTAAAAATTTATGGATTTATAGTCTATATTAAAGGTTGACCAGGGCAGTAGTAGTGGCTGCCTGGGCTTGCTTCTTTTGCACATAAAGCACTGGTTGTTTCGAAGCGAATCGCGATAGCCTCTACTGTTTGCAGCATGCGGTACCTCAGTGTTTTTGGGAATTTATTTGGTACTCAATAGATGATAGAGAAGGATTCTTCAAAGCTGGCTTTGTGGTTGGTTTGGACCAGGTGGTCTAATATCAAACTGTTGATGGTTTTTACTACACCTTTTTTTAACCACACACTGGTAGATATTCCCGGGCAATTTTTATTAATTTTTTGCTTTCTAAGTGAAATATTGGCTTCTCTAGTATATTTATACTTTAGTTAATTAAGGGCTGTCATTTTAAGTTGGCCTTATGACCGTACATAAATATTTGTTCTATTTTCATATGATCATCTCACAGGTACTCTTGAACAAACAACCCATCACTTTTCTTTCGGGATTTACTCATGCTCCAGATGCGTGATATTACTTGGAGGTCCATTTCGTATACATATATATATATATATATGTAGGATTCCATCATGAGCTGACATTAGTTAGAGAACTATTGGAAAACCTGAGAGTACTGGACAGCTGTTTCACCCTAGTTTTGGACTCTTCAATAGTACGGACCCACCGCCAGCGTTCGAACCCAGAAACGAGTTCCAGTCTACGAGCTCGTTTTGTAACCAGAAGGTCCTGAGTTCGAACCCTGGTGGGTGCATACTGATGAAGAGTCCCAAACCAGGATGAAATATCTCTCCAGTACTCCCAGGTTTTCCAGTGGTTCTCTAACTAATGTCAGCTAATGATGAAATCCAGTAAACTAGTCAAATACCTACAAACTAACACTTGAATGTATATATATTTATATTCAAATACATTTTCATTTCCTTCTGCATATCTGTTGGGCGAGAAGTTCTTAGCAGGTTTTCTGCACTACTGAAATTCTTTGTACTTTGCTAATTAATTTCAGGTGGTCATTTGATTTTCATTGTCGTATGAAGGCAGCAACTGATAAAAGTTTCCACTAACTAGTTGGAAATGCTTATGATGACTCACGCGTAAACTGTGTGCACTATACTGAAATAATGATTCAATACTGGCGTTTAAAAAGCAGATCTTGTTCTCTGTGCTGAGTAGAGTAGATTTTTACTTTTGTTATTGGGAAAGTGAGGGTTTTCCCTGGTGCTTCCTATTCTAGATGGCTTTAGTATCCTTATCTGTGTCACCTGTAATTCAAAGTATGTTGTTCAGGCAAGCGTTGGGGAAAACTTCCTTTAGATTATTTTTTCTGACAGTAACTTCTGCTGGTAGTCCTTTTGTTAACTTCCCAGATGAAATCTATCTTGTCTATATTCATCTGGTGTCCTGTTTTCACTATGATTTCTGCCAGCTCGTTGGTTTTAACTTATTATTCTTCGAGTTTTTGTCATAAAAGTAATAAATCCCCCAGGAAATCCATATTTTCTAGTCGTTTCAATGTCACATATGAGGCTTGTTTACTGGCTCTCTAGGGTCTGTGTCATGGTTCACTCCACTACACTGAGGAATACTATTGATGATTTTAGGCAGTCTTGACTTACTTCTATCTTCAATTCTAACGTTTTCGTAAATTTTTCAAGTAAATTAAACTGGTAGAACGGTTAACTAAACTTTTTTTACCATTTTTTCAATTACGAAATATTTTTGACGTGATCAGTCATTATTATTGTTCCCTTGGGTTCCAAATGGAAAATAAGGCTTCAACAATACACCTCCACTTGCTTCTATTTTCTGCTATCTTCTTCTTCATCTGGGCACTCGATTGAACATAATCTCTCATATTCATCTCACACGATCTCCTCCATATAACAGCGGGACAACCCATTGGCCACTTCTCATTGAGATTCCACTAGATCTACTGCCTGCACTGTACGCGATGTCATTCGGTGGCCTCCTTAACGCATGCCCAATTCATCTCCATTTTCTTTTACATATTTGTTCAAAAATCAGCACTTGGTTGGTCTGTTCCCAAGCTGAGTTTCTTTTCGTGACCGGCTTGGCAAATTTCTGACCAGTATAGAATAACCAAATGACTTCAATATTCGTGTTGAATATCCAAATCTTGTTGTCTATGTTGAATTACTGGTTTCAAGTTGTAGAAGGCATTTCTTGCCTTTTCTGATTCTGGCTTCATGGACAATTTGAAGATATTTATTTTCATTGCAAAGGTGAAGTATAGAGATAGAACAAAAAGTTGTCCTAATGAATATTTATTTACTATTTCCTTTTCTAGATACTGTAGCGACAACATATACTACACAGTTAAAGAAAACAACTCCTTATACTGTGTAGGTTCAAGATGTAATAGAAAGGCTACTTGTGGTCCTTTAGAAGTCCCCGATGAATATACAGCTGTAAGTGTAATTCTTATGCAATTGCAATTCTTTGACTCGAACAATCTCATTCCAAGGTGTATTATGTTCAATAAGTTTGTAAATTATGTCACAGAGGTGCACTCTTAACACTTTTTTATATTCAGCAAGACACAGACAATACAGGGAAATAGTCTATATATTCTGTTTATGTGGCTTCATTTATAAATATTTGTCACAGGAAATTCAAACTTATGTTAAAACTAAACTATGTACGATAGCTATGAACCATTAAAATAAGGAAGTGTACATTCTGACTAATTTTAATGGAACATGCTCACCTAGAATGTCATGACTATAAACCAAAGTTTAATAATTGATAATGAATGAAAATTTGGAACGGAGTTATCACTAAAAAATACGAGTAATACGGATGAGTGGATGGTGACTTTTTTCTGAGTGAACTTTCTTTTAAGTCAAGCTCCATCAGCAGGCGTAGATACGGTATGTTTACTTAGCCTCTTATGAAAACATGAAATATTTAACTGAATTTTAGATTTTCTCCTTGATTGATTTGACTGAAGTGCTCGTTCTCAGGTTGACATGTCGACTTCTTGTCCGAATGCTTCGACGATGTCTTGGCATGCAATTAGAATTTAACTGGTGGGTGGTGACTAGCAGTGGAATCCAGGATGCACATTTCGTCCTTTTTTGGGACTCATCAGATGGATATACCTGCATTCCTCATCACTCACTTATGATACTTTCCGTTATGATTTAGCAGAATAAGTTTATTTCATACATCAGAAATCTGCAAGCCTGTTTATATTACTAGGCTACATAATTTTACTTACAATATAATGCGTTACATTTAACTGAGTTATAGTTTGTTTTAACCACCTTTTCACGTCCTTGAAGGATAATATGTACTCATGTGAATTTTTGAATAGCTAATCCACATATCACTTGGTCGATTTTAAAGGCAGAAATACGTCAAGAGTTGGAACATGTTACAGATAGAACAGAATTCCTTCAAATGATATAGTATAGATGATTGTTTTACTTGACGATTCTGTATAACGAGTAAATGAATTCATGCTGGAAATTTTGCATTGTATGTATGTGTTGTTTAGAAAGAAGCTATAATTATTATTATTATTACTAACTGGGATATTTTTCTTTAAAAGGAATGCTTCGAACAACACCATGGCACTTTGTACCGATACTATCATAATGGAAGTGGTATACCAGCAAACGGTTATGTGCTAATTGTTGATGCAGGCTATAGAGGAGCATGTTCAGGTTCAACAGCAGCCTATGCCGGACCATGTCATATGGATCCTGTAACTGACAGGTAATTGGTCATAACTTTTATCTAACTTTCATAACAAAGCATAATAATAATAATAAAGCTTCATTTCAGACAGCATGCGAACATATGGTACAAACATTTTCAGCGTATTTAGTTCAAAAATACTATTTCCTTCATACAAGATTTACATCTGAAGTATATCTTTTTTCGTTGAAGAATTGCACAGTGTTTACTTGGAAGCAGGTTAAATCAGCGTACAAGTCTATGAACAGGTCATCTGATATAACTGGACGATTAAAACAATGATATATCCTGGTGAAATTAAGCATTTCCATGGGAAGCAATTTCGATAACCCAGTAATTGAAGCAGGCAGCCATATCTACAGTTTTGCTAACTATGAGTCTTTTGTTCTTAAAATATATCGTAGAAGAGAAAAAACAATTAGAAAGCAAGTGCTTTACACAATTGTGAACTGAATTTTTAAGTTCTTACTCCATAAGTCTTATTTATCTGTAGTTACCTGAAATACTAATAAAGTATAATTATGTTTCAGTGGCTTACACACAATGATAAGTTTTGTTTTTCGGTAACATTTCGAGCAAAATCACTACCAGTGTTCACACCAAGTGTTGGAATTGTTTTGTTCATTAATCTAAACATTTATTTTCCTATAGTTCGTTTGTAAGGATTAGGCTAGTTTTTACGAGTCGATCACGAATTGATGTCGATTATAGAATCATTGAAAATAGGCTGGGAGTACTAGACAGCTGTTTCATCCTAGTGCTTGGGAATCATCGGCATTACCTAAACACCAACAGGGTCCGAACCCAAGACCTTCATGTTACATGACAGGCTCGTATACCATTCAGCCACTGGAAGCCGATTCAATGGCGAGCCCATGGATTCCAACTTCTAACAATTCATGATTTTAACGAGACCACCAACCAATGTCATAAGTGGAAAATCTATTCTCACTTCCGACTGGATGGACCCTAATGGTCAAGATTTCTCACTAGAACTCAAGGCAACTTCGTCCTAGCGAGCAAGAGATTAACTCTCAAGAATTAGTTTGCAAACGAAAAGTCCTGGATTCAAAACCTAGTGGTCGCGTACTGCTCATAAGTCCCAGGCGGTAGGATGAAACGGCTGTCTAATACTCCCTGTTAGTTTTCAATGGTTCTCTCCTTACAAAACAACTATTGAAAATTAGTCATATGCTCGCTAGTGCCTTGCTACAGAATGGAATCTTCTGGAGTTCTAGTGAGAGGTCGTGACCAGTGAGGTGCATCCAGTCAAATGTGGGAGACGGATTTCCCATCGATGATGCGCTAAATCACGAACTGCTAGAAGTTAGAATTCATGGGCTGGCTACTTAATCTGATCCTAGTGGTTGAATGGTATACGAGCATGCCTTGTAACCTGAAGGTCCTGGGTTCGAACCTTTTTGGTGGGTGGGTACTACCGATGATTCTCAAACTAATATGAAACAGCTGTATGGTACTCACACACTTATGATTTATTTTTGATTAGATTCTTTGGTTTAAACGTGGTGCGAATCTGAATATTTTTGAGGTTTCTTCGAATTGCCTTTGATGTGTCATTTTTGTATGGTATTGTGACTATTTTTATTTTACCTTCCTCCTTCTTGTTATTCCCTCGTTTTATACTCTTTTTTTTCAATTTTTTCTATTATCTCTGATAAATTCTTTTGAGTAGTTGTTATCGAGTAGCATTTTGAATAGGATGTTTATTTCTTTAAGCTGGTCATCTGATGTTGTTGTATGTCTACGTATTCTATCTGCAAGACCTTGTTACGATCCTTGTGTGTGGATGAGCTGAGTGATAATCAAGGAATCTTCCAGAGTGTGTAGTTTTTTCTATACAGCTTCGTTTTCATGCTACAACCTGTTACTCTTTGTACTTTGTAGTCTAGCATAGGCAGTTCCCCAATTTCATTCTCTATTTCCATAATGAAATTTCAATAAAGAAAAAATCCCCATTTAGACATTTAGAAAACAGAAAGATTGAGCGAAGAAATATTTACTTTTCGATTAGATCCTCTACTCTACTGGCTCTACTCTAATATACACAGAGAGCATTTTAATTACAATACAACAGTTTGCCAATCAAGTGGCGATAACTTTGTTAACAATAATTAAGCAGTGTCAATGGGTTAATAGTTAACGAAGAAAATCAATACAGATTTAAAAAGTGGAAATGGATAGAATAAATTAATTTTACAAGAATAACACGTAAATTAAAGATAAAGTGGTCAAAATAAATAAAATAAAATAAATAATTTAGACATATATAATTTTATAGGTTTAGGGGGAGGGGGGCGACGCAGTCCTGTTTATCCATTCTTGTGACGATGGCCACGGTAGGGAAAGTGGCTGTAGAAATTTACTGAGTCGACATAACTGTTTATGTGTGTGAGAAGAATTTCTCAACATCGTTTTTTCTTCATTATTACTAACGTGTCGTCTATATACATATGTATATATATATGTCCACCAGCATTTTATTGACGACCTGAATCGTTTAAGTCCATTCTTTTCCCAAAAATACATGAATTTGTCAGCTATTATTGGTGAGACGGGAGATTCCATGGCTACGAAATGAAGGAGTCATATTTTTTAGTATGACTTTCATTGTTGGTTAAATCTTGTTGGCTTTCTACAAAGATGACAACTGTAGAGTTAATATCAGTTCTACAGAAAGAGAAGTGAGTGAAATGCTCAAACATTTAGCGAACTTACTTAACTGTCATGTGAAAGTGTATCCCCTTCGTATATCAACTGAGTAGGTAAGTTTCACATGTTTTGTTAATAAGTTATGAGAAGTAAGGCATATATATTACTGTTGATCTTAAACGCAATGCATAAATAAACATCTTTCCATTTTCTAGGCCAAATGTTGGATATGTGAACTTATGTCCAGGTCAGATGGATCTTTCATATCCAGGTGGTAAAAGTTTGCCAGGCATTATAATCCATGAGATAGGTCATGCACTGGTAAGTAAATTTTACAGTTCAGTTTATTTAATGTCGTTTGTCAACCACAACAAAACTAGACCGCTTCTCTGAAGTCTGAAATACAGTACGGGTGTCGTATTAGGTCTCATTTAATTATGATTTGTATACTAAAATCATTCACACAGTTTGTAGACCACATAGTTTGAAAATGACACATTTTTTAAATGTAATTTTTATTAATTTTTAAAAGTAAATCCTCATGAATATGTTGAATATTTACATTTTATATATTTAAAGGGATTTCTGTCCAATGGTTTTCCATTTATGCGTGATTCAAAAGGGAACCCTAGAACAAAAAGAGGTCCTGATAATAAACCAATATATAAAGACAGAAATGGAAATTATCTTTCAAGGTAAAGCATTCTTAAATACTTTAAAACATTGCATAATGTAACAACATGAAGGCTTACCACTAACACCTATCTCATTGTGAAAAAATCATTCATTCCACACGTGTGATTTTGACTAAGTATACACTTTAAGCACCACTAATTACCGATGATCTTGAAACACTCACTGAGCAAGTTAGTGAAACCTGGCAAATTATATTATCATCGCCAATAAAATATGCGCATCGAAGTGTTATGCTATTAAAATGGGATTTCTAGCAAGTTTCTCCTTAGGTCTGGGAAAGATTTAGGTTAAGGATTAGGCTAATCATCACAAGTTAGGTTAACCTATTAAAGGCGATATTAGAGTTAGTTCAAGTTGAATTGGGGTAAGTTTAGGCATATTTTCATGTTAGGGCTAAGTTAAGGAAAGATTAGGGTTATGTTAGCTTTAGAAGACCTAAATAATTACATATATAGAATGTGGTTAAATTACTGACATTAATTAAATTACTCTGTTGATATAAGTATAGAACTTGTGCACTTTGGTAGTAGAATATAATTCGATTGTGGGTAAAATCTATTTTGACAAATTCTCACAATATTATACTGTAAGATTTAATGATGACAACGTTTCGAACACAGTTTATCGCTCAGTAAATATTACTGTATAACACCATGAGACTTTATCAAAATAGATTTTACCCACAATAGGATTATACTCTGTTAATACTCCAACCTAAAACTTAGAGATATCTTTATAAAATGTGAGAGAAGGGTATTCTCTGTAACACTTTTATACAGTTTTTATACATCTTTTTCATAAATATATGTATTCCATATACAAAAATACCTCCTTCATGTGATTAGTATGTTCAAGGTCAGTCGCTTATTGGTAGCTAGTTGGGCGTAAAATTTAACTTTACCGTGATTTTAATGTTTTGTGATTGGCAGAATTATTTACACCTATGCTGTCAGTTGATGAAATAATATTAGGTGTTCACTTATATCTAACCTCCACTGTTGTATTCATATTTTCAACTAAACTATACAAACAAACGAATGAGTTAGCAATGGAATCATTAATATCCTCAACAGTAGCAGACATATTTATGGATAGTTGGGAACATAAGGCTCTTAGAACGTTTAATCATGCCCTTCATCCCTAGATTGTGGTGGAGATATATGGATGATACATTCCCTAACGTTTTGAAATCTGAACGTATCCCTCATTTGTTTTCACTTATATAAACTTAACAAAAGACGGTATTCAATTCACTTGTGAACAGAATGAGTTGCTAAAATAAAACGCAAACAAGATGGTGGGTTAGATAATAGCATTTATAGAAAATCGACACACATCCAGAATCGTTGAATACATGTTTAGTTAAATGTCTGTGTAATCGGAATAAGCGCCTAGCTAGTAAATCAGAATATTTAAATAATGAAATCAAAAAAATAAAGGAGGCATTTCTGGTGAATAACCACCCATCAGAATTTATTGAAGAACAATAGGAGAAATTAGATTAGCAATAAAAACGACGAAAATATTACAGAATTCAAAGCCTCTGTAGTACTGCTGTACAAAGAAGAAATGTCAGAGTCCTCACGTAGGATTCTCAAACAGGCTGGAACTAGGGTGCCATCTAAACCAACTTTCTCAGAGATAAACTTTGTCAGCTTAAGGATGCAATTGGTCCAACTAGGGAAAATAACATAATTCACTAAATACCATGTAATGCTGACTGTGAGGTCAATTATATAGGCCAGTCAAACTAGTAGATCAGGGTCAACTAGATTATTGAAACATAAACATTTGGTTAGACGTAGAATAACTGACCCTGCTAAGTTAAATAACCTAGAAGAAACAGAGCTCAGCCACTGCACTACAATGCATTCACTTGAATGTAATCACAAAATAGGGTGGGTGGGACAGAGTGACAATATTGAAAAGTAATATACTTAGGTGGAGTGAGAGAGAGAGAGAGAGGTTAATCAGGGAAGCTTTGTTTATCGATTCAACACTGCAGACGTGCAACCGAAATGACTCAACGCCTATACCGGAGATGTGGAGAGAGGTGACAGATAAAAAAGGGAAGTTGGATCAATAGAAAGACAGTAAATATATATAAGACATATTATGAAACCATGTGACCAAAATTGATATAATGATTTTGACTGGCAATCATTTATGCTTGAATTCTTGTCGTCCAGGTGTTAATACTGAATCGCTGAGTGATATTTAAAATAAACTTATCTAATATGGAATTACATTCTACCACAGTGCCCAAGTTCTACACTTACATTATTTGTGACTTGCAATTGTTAGGAGCCACTTTCAGAGAGTTCTAAAATTTAGACACTTTGCTGATAAACATTTTAATATATATATATATATATATATATATATATATATATATATATATATATATATTAGAATGCAACGGAGTAAAGAGTTTCTGTACTAGGTGTCAGATGAATTCATATACGCGTAAAGACTTACATTTAAATCGCTGCAAATGGATCAACTAATGAAGAAAGAAACATCTGGTCACCACACAGCATACCTAAAATGCTTAGAAAAAATACTCATGCTTCATATTTCAGTCATAATCCCCCATTATAATAAGGTAAAAACAACTTATAGACTTACCGCATTTGCATAACTGAAGTATGTAGGGTGACCACCATACCCTTCTTGTAGATAAACCAAATAAAGGTTTGCCATCATATTAGACGAAAATATCACCTATATGTTAGTCTCTTAAATGAAACGTCGATAAAACACATGCAAAGCTAACTTTCTATGAGCGATTGAAATTTAAATTGATGAGAAAAGTAATGGTGTAGCGGCTATCAGTATAATGAAAAAATTTCAATGAATTTAGAAAACAGGAAATTCATTGCTAAACACCTTAACAGACATACAATGAGAAACATGCTTAAATTTGTCGTCTAAGAATTAAAATTAACACACTGATTGACATTCATTATTCATATAATGAAAGTTACTCAATGAATGAATGTATTTTGTAGTAACAATACCGTCAAAATGATCACAAGAAATTGGTTGAGTGCTGCAGGAAAATTTACAAGAACGCCTGGATCGTTTGTTACTCCTAAAATTTTGGTGAGTTATTTTTTATCAAACACAAGTTGATTCATGCAAATGTTTTAAACTGTGCATATGAATTAAGATGGAATATAAACGCATTCAGCGAAAAATCATCTTATGATTAACTAGACAATAAGGTATAGATTTTGATGAGTAGAACACAGCTGAACCCTACAGTAGGTGTATATCCTTTCATCCTCTTACAAATAACCCATATATTTATTCACTGGAAAACTCCTTACATTGAAATATTTGATCTCGATGTAACTGTAACAACAGACGACAAGGGCCGGCAACAGATCGTTTTATTACGGAAATCAGCACGTATTCATATATATTTCACATACATTATTATAGCTTATTCAAGTAGACAGACGCAGTCTTTTGATTGGCTGTTTTCGAGTTCCTCGGACGGAAAGTGGAGCCATCTATCTGCGAATCATATTTGCCCACGTTAAGTTTGCTGTGGTTGGTTGTTGAAACAGCCTTGTTCATATTTTCTCACGGCTAATTGTAGTGACCTAGACATTGATGTAGATTAATGTCTACCAATTGGCTAACAGCCTGCTCTCACCACATAATGACTGAGAATTTCTCAATCCAAATGTCTTTGTGAAGTTTAGACAAAGCGAACGCTAACAGCCAAATCAACTAGCATTGAAATCATTCACAGTGAATCTGTGATTTTCGATAAAGAATCTACGCTCGTTTACATGAGAATTTATTCATTATTGAGATGCTTATTTAAGACACAGTATTCAAGAATTAGTTTGTATGGATTCTATTTGTTTCAGGTTGACATCACAGATTGACATCGATTAGTGAACCATTGAAAACCAGCAGGGAGTATTAAACAGCTGTTTCATCCTAGTGCTTGGGATTCATTGGCTGTACACGACCATTGGATTTTGAATCCAGGACCTTCCGGTTATAGACTAATTCTTGACAATGAATCTGATGCTCACTATTGACTCACTATAGGACGAAGTCACCAGGAGTTCTAGTGAGAAGTCGTGACCAGTGGAGGGCCATCCAGTAAATGTCTCACTAAAGGCATTGGTTGCTGGTCAAGCTAAAATCACGAATCTTTAGAAGTTAGAATCAAGTCAGCATACGAGCTTGCCTTGTAGCCTTAAAGTCCTGGGTTTGAACCCATCGTGGTAGATGCGTATTGCCCATGATGATTCCCAAACACTAGGACGAAAGAGATGTCTAGTACACCCTGCTTGTTTTCAATGGTTCTCTAAGTGATATCAACCCCTAGTCTAACCTGGAACATAGAGTTCAACCAAAGTGAAGATGTCATTTCACAGGAAATCTTAGTAGGAAGTCGTAATATTTTATAGCAGAAGCATACAAACGTTTCTGCATTTTGTTTAAATAATAAGCTAAATGTTAGTTGGTTGTTTCTTAGCACTATAGTAAACATAATTAATGGTTCCTACTTTTGCACTCATATTCATATAGTTATCATGTTTTTTATTACTAATAGAGTAAACATTCTGTGGATGATGTGTTCACATGACTATTATTATTATATTACTGCTCCCTTGGGTTCCTAGTGGAACATAGGGCTTCAACTGCACGTCTCCATTTGCTTCTGTCTTCTGCTGTACTTTTCACCTGAATCCATGTTAGACCATACTCTTTCAACTCCTCTTCACACGATCTCCTCCATGTCACCCTTGCACTGACGACCCAAACGCCGCTTCCCTTTCGGGTTCCACTCGAGGGCTTGACGCGCGATGTCACCCAGCAGTGGCCTCCTCAGCGAGTGTCTAATCCATCTTCACTTTCTCTTGCATATTTGTTGGGCGATTGGATCTTGCTTTGTTTGTTCCCATAGTTCCTTGTTGGTGATTCTTTCCGGCCATCTGATCTTCAGTATAGAGAGCGAAGACAGTTGTTGATAAAGGTCCGCAACAGGCTGCTGGAAATATTCTTTGTGAACCGCCCGCCAAGTTTCTGATCCGTATAGAAGAACTGACTTTACGTTTGTATTGAAAATCCGAATTTTGTTGCTGATTCTGTTACATGACTATACCTATTCTGATATCCATTAAATCTTCATGAAATCAAAAATGGGGTCACTTTTCAATTATGTTTTTTCCATTTTAGGCTTTTGCCAGGAAATATTTTGCCTGTCCAAATTTAGATGGGGTTGATTTAGAAAACTATAATGTAATAGGGGCAGTTGGATCTCACTGGGAAGCCAGACTATTTCAAGTGAGTTAATTGGGGATTTTAAACAGGCTTTTACGACTGATGTGTTTTACAGAGTGAATTTCTGCTCCGTTATTACTTTCAGAATGTTTTATATTTCTGAAAAATTAGGGAAATACACTCACTGTACTATGATCCAAACTAAACCCATATCACAATTTCTTAGTTTTAGCTGAGGTGAAGCAAGTCTTCTAGTATCGTGTGGAAGAAAACAAACATGAATAATTGCTTTTTGGTCACAAACGCTTTTTAGAATTTGAAATTTATACATGCGAGAGACAAAGAAGATTCAGAGCATGACTAAGTTTTCATGGTGATATATCTATGGATATTAGATGGTTGGAGAAAATCTCCAGGAAGCCCCTCTTGACCTAGGTTTCGTGCCACTTGATGGAATTCGTCAGTAAGGCGTATCTGCATCCTTAAAGGGACTCATGTCCCTTCTAAGGTTCGGACCCGCATCACGCAGCGCTGCAGTTACTTTTTGGGTTGCGGATATGCCTTGCTGACGAGTTCCACCAACTAACTGGAAACTTAGGTCGGGTTGGGCTTCTGCCTATCGCCTCACACCATCTAACATCATCAAATCAATGTCCATCGTGATGGCTAGTTACCTGGAATGGTGGACACATCACAAAGTTGACTGAGAGAATTCAGTCTGCACCAAAGAAAGGACTAGACACATAACACTAGTTGATAGTGTTCAATCAAAGGATGATATATCTATTGTTTTTCTTGATATAAGAATAAAACTTGTGCACTGTGGTAGAGTGTAATTCCATTATGGGTAAATTTTGTTTTGATAAAGTCTCACAGTGTTATACAGTAATGTTTATTGATGACGTTTCGAGCACAATTTATTGCTCATAATCATATCAAGGTAATCACACGACTTCCTAAATTCATTTATATAGTTCCATTGTTTTTCACTTGATTTTCACTTGATTTGATTGGTAATAGTATTTTCCATATTTCAGGTATGAGTGATGACTCATTCCTATTGCATGTGTTGGGTGTAGACTCGATGAACAAGGATTCAGTAATCGACCTCTCTCTCCACCTACCTAGATTACTTTTTAGAATTTTAACCCTCTCCCACCCTATCGTGTGGTTGTGCGTTAGCGCATGCATTGCAATTGCTGAGCTTTTTTCTAAATTACTTATCTTCTCGGGGTCAACCACTTTTACCTTAGCTAAATTCTTATGCTCTGACAATCCGACTACCCCTGACCTACTAGTTTGACCTACGTAGTTGACCTCACAGTCATTGCATGGTATTTTGTAAGTAATATTATTTTGTCTAATTGGGTCAACTGGGTCCTTTAACCTACAGAGCTTGTCCCTGAGTGAGTTTGTAGGTTTAAATGCCACCCTAATTCCTACTTTATTCAGAATTCTCCGTAGTGTCTAAGATGTCCCCTCTTTATATGGTATAACTGGATGACTTATATTCTCTCTTATTTATGTTATTATTACTAGTTTTACAATTATTTTTATTTTGTCTTTGGCCTTTAATGATCTTCCTAATGAGTTTTATAGGATAGTTATTCAACACCAACGCTTCTTCTATCTGTTTTAATTCATCATTTAGGTCTTTTTTTGTGCTACTTGGTGCCACTGCTCGGTTTGTTAAACATTTAACCAAGCCTGCCTTAACAGTTTAAGGATGAGGCGAATTAAACTCTAAATATCTATTAGAATGCGTTGGTTTTCTATAAACACTAGTGTGTAGTTAGAAGAATAGAAGAAGGCAAACTACACACTAGTGTTTATAGAAAACTAACGCATTCTAATAGATATTTAGACTGTGTGTATGGACAGACACACCTCGGGAGGAGTAATCGTGCTTTGCATGTGAGGGTGGCAGAGTATATCTCTAAGTGGTTAGGAAAAGCAATAGACAAAGTTGGCAGACTACCAACTTTGTCTACAGCCGAACATCTAGTCGAAATGAAGGATACGATTGATGTTAACACAGCTTTTAACGTCATCTAGGTCGAGCGCGCTTACTGAAATACGCTGAGGCTATAGTTATTCATAAACTTAAGACCCCCTCCCTTTGTCTTCAAAATCAATTTAATATTAATCTTGGTAATCCTTACTTGATTGGAAAATAAAAATGTTGTGATAATTATTCTTATTATTTATATGATTTGATCAAGGGTTGTTATCAGTTAGAGAACCATTGAAAATCAGGAAGTACTGAAGTACTGATAAGAGTCCATGATCAACCCATGAAAACAAATGTAATCCTTACAAAGCAACTATTGGAAATATTCTTATTATTCTTGAGTCCTTTTGTCAATTTGTTTATTTTAAGTGTGCTTTATTTCTTATGTAAATTGGTATAAGAAGTAAGTATGTGATCAGATTGTGTCCGAAATATTTTCTACAAATATATCACACCACATGTTTCAGAGATGATCTGCGTCTTTTAATTACACTATCCAAATATAGAATCAAATTATTACATGCCATAAGTTTGCCTAAAATCTGATAACACAACCAAAATTTATGCGCAAATTAAGTAATGAGATGTAAGTGTATATTTTAAGCCACTAGACAACTAAAAACTCAGCTTTCTACGTCATCTTTGAACCACTTTATAAGCGTTCACAACACAATGGCCAGTATTTTCGAAAAGAATAAATATTCACTAATCCTAATTAAATGACTAATTTGGGTAATTTTTCAGTTAGATTATTTGGATTTCCTTTCATTTCCAGAACGAGGTCTTGTCACCAGTAATATTAATAGACTATTCTGTTTCCCAACTTACTTTGGCTTTCTTTGACGATTCAGGGTAAGTTGATTTTACTATGTAACTCTTTTTTTTTTAAAAAATAAATGGCATTTCAGGGCTATTTATATAGTACAGTCGATATATATTTGTTTTTAGTAAAACCGACTTTACCTTAAAGGCGTTTAATTGATCTATAACTAGTAGTTCCCTACGATAGATTTTGTTAAATATTATTATTTATTATTGTATCCTTTAATTCCCAGAGGAACATAGGGCTTCAGCTGCGCATCTCCATCGCCTTCATTTTTCTGCCAACTTTTTCACCCCACTCCAAGTCTGCCCACGTGCTTTCATCTCCTCTTCATATGACCTCTTCCAAGTCACCCTTACACTGACGACCGAATCGCCACTTCCCTTTCGGGTTCCACTTGAGCAATGGCTTGTCTAGTGATCTCACTAGATGGTTTCCTCAGAGTATGGCCAGACCATCTCCACTTCTTCCTGCCTATTTGTTTCACAATCGGTTCCCGCTGGGTTGGTTCACTCATTGTCAGGGATCCCTGTTGCTGATCTTTTTTGGCCATCTGATCTTGAGTATTGAGCGAAGACACCTGTTAGTCTGAAGTTTGTTTGAGATGCTCTTTATGACTCGCCAAGTCTCTGATCCGTATAGTAGCACTGACTTCACATTGGAGTTGAAAATTCGGATCTTATTTTTATTTTCATGCTGAGTGCTGTTGACCTCCCTACAGACTTGAGAGTAATGAAAGCTTGTTTTGCTTTTGCGATCCTTGCTTTGATATCCTCGTCACTTTCTTCAACCTGTAGTCGAAACGGTGCTTCCCAGGTAGGTAGGTAAAGGAGGTTGTTTCTTTCAGGTTCCTCACATTTATGCTGATTGTTGTCTGTTGTTGTTGCTGTCGCTGTTGGCGTTGGCCAGGAATCTTCATCACCTCTGTTTTCTCTATGTTCACCTGAAGTCACATCTTTCCTGGATTCTTCTTCTGCCAGCTTGTTGCTTTTCACCTGCATATCTTTCAGTTTGTGGAAAATCAGACATATATCATCATCGGCGAAGTCCAGATCCTCTAAGTTTTTTGTGTTAGCCCATTTTATGCCTGTTTCCTGATTGCCCGTTGTATGTCGCATTATCCAATCTACTGCAATCAGGAAGATCATTGGTGATAGTAGGCAGCCTTGTCTCACTCCCGTCCTCTCTTCGAAGGCTTCCGTAAGTTTCCCGTTGTGGATTACTTGGCATGCAGCATTGTCGTATAACTGTTGGATGAGATGTATAATTGTCGATGGGAGCCCGCAATAGCAAAGTAGTTGCCTGAAATTTTTCAAACATCTCATCACATATCGAACCTCGAGGCGCTGGTTGGCATTCTTTTGGAGTAATAATGGTTACAAACTAGTGAATAATCTCACTTTGATAGAAACAAGTTGTTCGAAACTACATGGATCTAACCGTTTCTCTCATGTATTGGTTTGTAAGGATTTAACTGGTTACAGGATTTCATCATGAGCTGACATTGGTTAGAGAACCACTGGAAAACCTGGGAGTACTAGATAGCTGTTTCGTCCTAGTTTGCGAGAAATACTCGCTGAAGATATTAGCTAGTGGTCACACCATGTCGTGAATTGGTAGTAAGTTATAATTCATGAGTCATTGGATCAGATGGCAATTGCTTAATGGTCTACGAGCTAGCTAACCGTGTAACTAGAAGGTCCTGGGTTCGAACGCCAGCGGAGGGTGCGTACTGATGAAGAGTCCTAAATTAGGATGAAACAACTGTCCAGTACTCCCTGCAGATTTTCCAATGGATCTCTAACCAATGTCAGCTTATAGTGTAATCCTTTAACCGTTTCTCTAACTTTTGCTGCTGTTTGCTTACAAAATCCACCTTGAAATCAAGTATATACCAACAAACTATAATTTAGTACATGTGTTATTCATCTTTTGCATGAAATGCAAAAATGTTAAGCATCTGATACGCAGCCAAAATTGAAATTCAAGTATGCATAATATCAACAAAAGTTATTAATACACAAAGAATTCAAAGATGAACTTACTGAGGGAAATTTAATACGATACAGAAATGATTCTGGAAATACTAAAGGTGAATGAAGCGCGTAGAAGACTGAAACTTGAACGAACTTAAAAGGGTTTATTCAAAAATATTAGCAACTGGTTCTGAAGACAAATAAATCATAGTAAGACGAAGCTATTTTAAATATTAGATTTCGAGAGTAAAGACCTTGTATATCTGTCACCAACGTCAAATAGATAGGTTAATTCAAATAATCTTACTATAGATATGATTGAGGTGCTTTTTGACACAAATAAATCGGTCAGCCTTTATTATTTATATGATGTGATATCCGCTTACAAAGTGATAAATGAGAATGGATTTGCATACTACGAAACACAAGTATATGGGGCTTCATTTGTATTTTCCTCATGTACACTCTTTATTTGATTGTTATTATCTGTATTGAGCAGCGAACCAATCCGAACAGTCAAGAGTACATAGTTGATAAATATATATACAGTCTCTATTGAATCTATCCAAATTCTCGATGGGACGCAATAGATCCAATTAAGAAAAGTAATATAATTCACAAAACACCATTTAAGCTGACTGTGAGGTCAATGATATAGGCCAGTCAAACTAGTAGATCAGGGTCAACTAGATTATTGAAACATAAACATTTGGCTAGACGTAGAATAACTGACCCTGCTAAGTTAAATAACCTAGAAGAAACAGAGCTCAGCCACTGCACTACAATGCATTCACTTGCATGTAATCACAAAATAGGGTGGGTGGGACAGAGTGAGAATATTGAAAAGTAATATACTTAGGTGGAGTGAGAGAGAGAGAGAGGTTAATCAGGGAAGCTTTGTCTATCGATTCAACACTGCAGACGTGCAACCGGAATGACTCAACGCCTATACCGGAGACATGGAGAGTGGTGACAGACAATAAAGGGAAGTTGGATAAACAGAAAGATAGAAATTATATCATGCATTTGGTTCCCTTGATAAGTTCCAATAGAGAAATAAAGACCAGATTTGCAGTATCAAATGATATCAGCATTCTGCTTCACAGGTTCTCATCAGCTGCTGAAAACTACTTGAAATTACAATGATTATCAATAATGACATTCCATAGTTCAGTGTTTGGAAGGTAACAGGGAAGACATTATAAGATGAACGGATCCGGAATATAAACATTATAGTTTTTAGTTTAAGTCACCATCAATTCATATTTTTTTAAACTATTATAAAATGGGTGATAAGAGAAGACAGAATAATCTAATAAACATTGTTACCGTGTACATCTACGTGTCAACTCAAGAAGGTTAAAGTTTATCAAATTGGAAACTTGCTTAGTGAACTGAGCTCACTAATGCGTATGACTAATCAGAGTAATCAAAGTAATACGGTTACCAAGGGAGTTAGAGATTGACTGCACTTCCATTCTGTCTGCGTAATTTTGGTCTGAAACGCTTGATTACAACTGCTTCAGCAGATCGTAATAAATTCACTGTCCTTTTTATGTTTAATATTTTAAGGTACTGCGAAATCTCGACGAAATGACCCGTATCCACAAGGTGTCCGGTAATCGCACTTTGTAAATATCTGCTTCCTTTTAAGCATAAGTTTCTTGGAATATGCTTTGAAAACCGGATAGAAACCTGCACGTAATCTTATAAATGCAGTTGTAGGTAATATCAGCAGGGTACTTATCCATTTTCGATTGGATTATAGAGCATGTAGTGCTATATATAGAGTTACAAGCTTAGCTACAGAGAAGCATGTTTTTATTACTCCTTTCAGCCGCTTGTCAATCTTTTGTGATACTGCTTCTCCTTTGAGTGGGAGGCAAATGAACACAAATGTATATAAGACAAATTGTGAAGCTGTGTGACTAAAATTGATATGATTATCAGTGGCAATAATTTATGCTCGAAACCGTGTCATCCAGTTGTTAATATACCTCATCCTTGTATGATATTTAAAATAAACTTACCTAATATGGAATTATATATATATGTATATATTTCTTAATGAAATGGAATAACTGTATAACTGCATACAGTCAGTGATTCAATAGAAAAATCCTCGCTAGCGGAGCTGGAGATTCGGGTCTAGTTGCTGGTCAACCTACTCCAAAACCACCTCTAGTTTATTAGGCTGTAGAATGCTCCACTGCTTGATGAACAACGCAAATGCTACTGAAACTCTGAGTTTCAAAGCATCTATCTGTAGATATCAAAAAATAAAACAGTAAGATAAAAACAGCATTAACACACCTATCTTTTAGGATAGAATATTCTCACTGATCACTGGAAAAAAAGGTGCTGATTGAGAAACTGATAATGCATGATGTTATTGGCCATTATATTTAAATATTTTCTGAAAAGCATATAAGTGTGTATACTTTGAAACGTCATGTGGGACCAGTGTCAACTATAGACATTATTTAAGAACAGTAGATTAAGTTCTTCATTTGTAAATTACAGGATTAAAGGTAAGAAGTTACCGCCGTCTCCACTTAAAAATCAGAAACATTTAAATCGAACTATTTGACCCCTGTGCTAGCATAAATGACGATCAAAAAAGTAAACGGAATAGCGTGATCACACATTCTGCTGACTGAAATGACTAGCTGGGGACTGCTAAAGTCGAATTCTTCTCCTCGGAAAGTGCAACTTGCAAATCACGAATTTTAATTCTAAGTATTACTACCTAGACACAGTAGCTAATCACAATACGGATAATTTGAACTGATTCAACTCCCTGACATGATTTAAAAGGAGTACACGTTTGGTGAGATCTGTCAAAAATAAGCGAATCAACGGCCTTGTGTTCAGATCACTTCGATTTGACTATCAAGCACAAAAACAACGTTGAACTACTTCTTTCGAAATGCAACTTCTCTAAATATACCAGTATTTGTTTAAGGAGCTTTTAATTGTGACTAGAATCACCAATGAATGAACATGACAGCCATAAAATTTGATAGGGAAAATAAAATGGAAATAAGTTTACAAATAGTAATGTTTGAAACATTTATGTCATTCTTAATGTTCAGTACTCTCAGGTTCTCCAATGGTTCTCTAACTGATGTCAGTTCATGACGAAATCCTCCATCTAATCAAACAAAATCCCTACAAAACCAATACTTGAAAATTACTCTAATGCTCACTAGCTACTGGCCTTACTCTGGCAGTGACCTGTGGTTCTAGTGGGAAGCGGTGACCAGTAGGGTACAGCAGGTTGAAGACGAGGCAGTAACTCATCGAAGAAGATATTGCGAAATGGTCGCGCTCCATCGTGAATTGGCAGAAGTTGAAATTCATGGGCCATAGGATTAGGTCCCAATGGCTCAATGGTCTACGTGCGCTCCTCGTAATCAGAAGGTCCGGGGTTTGAACGCTGGTGGTGGATGAATACTGCTGAAGGATTAGTCGCAAACAAGGCTGATGAAACAGCTGTCCAGTACTCCCTGGTGGCTTTTACAATGGTTCTCTACGTGATGTCAGCTCATGATAAAATCTTCCATCCAGTCAAACAAAATCCCTACAAAATCAATACTTGAATATTATTATCATTTGTCAGTGGATGATTAGATGACTATGTTCTTTTGTAGACAGAAACTCCAAAAGATATAGCGGTTTAAAAGATAGCCTTTCTCTCTTGAAATGATGATATTTTTTAGTGGCTTACTAGGCACATTATTTCTCTTATCACATCGTATGGCCAAAATTACTTTTTATGACGTCAACACCTGATATATGCCTTTTCATCCCTTATCTGTTTTATTTATAGATGGTATAATGTTAATTACAAGACGGCTATGAGAATGGAATATGGCAAAGGTTTAGGATGCAACTTCGCAACAAAGAGTTGTTTTGAATACGCCGAAATTCAAAGACGACAGTGAGGATCTGTTAAATTTCTTTTTTAATTTTCATATACTTCACCAAATATTTCACTGGGAACTAAAATCATTTGCGCAACCACCTATATTACGACAACATTCGTTACGAGTTATTGAGCTGAACAAACCAAGAATGACAAATGTACCAGGAGAATATGAGCTCATCTCTCATTATTTCGAAGATTCTCCTCAACTAGCTATAACCTGAAGAATGCAATAAATTGTAAATTACATTAAAAGTTTGAACAGACTATTTTTCACGATGAAAAGAGTAACATTTTGTAACTAATAGTAAGATAAGTCCGAATGATGTAACTTGTTAGATTATAAAGAGGAGTGATTATGTATAGGATAATTAGACGAATACTCCGGACTTATAATACTCATATTCCCTGTTTGTAATTTCGTGTCACTGTGGAAAAAGGAATGTTCAAATTTTGAATGTAATTTTAATTTTTCTTCTCATCATTCAAGTTATAGGCAGTTGAGAAGAATCCTCGAAATAATGATAGATGAGCTCATATTCTCCTGGTATATTTATCATTCTTGCTTTGTTCAAGTTAATTGTAGGGAAAAATTTCTGGTGTTTGTAAAACTGAGCTCATTTTGAGATTCACTGAAAGAAAATATGGGTCTTGAATGTGATTAAAGGTAATTTTGTGATGCTGAAGGATAGAAGTAATGAAAACATCGCCTGTTTATTCTATCAAGTCCTACTGTATAATGAATGGAGGATTTCTTAAATTGTTAATATATTTAAGGAGATTCAAGAAGCAACAGATATGTTTAGCTATTTCTTGCTTCAGAAGCATGATCTAATTGAATGGCATTCAGATTTTTAACAAAAATATGAATTTACAATCACGCTTTATTTGAATCATACTGCAATTCATCTCAACATACTGTATTCGATTGAGATGTACTGATTATAGGCGGTCTAATTGAACCGAAATCGCTTTCCAACGAAATGCTTAATTTCACCTGGATCTATCGTTATTTTAATGGTCCAGTTATACCAGATGACCTTTACATTACCTTCTGCGCTGGTTTAATCTGCTTCCAAGTAAACACTGCAATTCTTCAGAATATTACATTAGATGTAAATCTTGTATGAAGGAAATAGTATTTTTCAACTAAACACGCTGAAAATGTTTGTACCATATATTTGCATATCGTCTCAAATATAGCTTTATTACTATTATATGGAAATGCATTGTCATGTCAAGGTTTTTATTAGATTTCATTGCATTTATCATTTCTTAGACAAAAATCATTCAAACCTTTCTGTGATGATAATCGTCAAGCAACGTGTAAAGATACTTACTCTTATGGAGTTTGCCACATATATACATATCCCAGTGGTGTACCCCGAGAAGATCAGTTTTTCAAAACTCCACCATATAGTTCTCCCTACAGTGCTGCTTATTTTGGAGGTGATGATCCGCACAGAGATTTCTGTCCAACACAAACGGTATGCTGACAACAGTTTATTTTTTATTATTTAGTGATGCTTACTTGGACTATGACATGAATACCTTAGTGGATGTTTTAAGTTATATAAAAGATTTTCAGGATATACGATTTTAAAAGCTTCGGTGGTTCAACGGTAGAATGTTCCTCAATGATGCATATAGTCTGACTTATAGGGAAGGTTGGAAGTGAGGCTGAAAACCTTACCCCGTGAAAATAAAACCACTGCTACGGTGAATTAAAAGCTCAAGTCTGAAGTCCTTTATTCCATTTGGAATGCAAAGGAATAAAATAATAAAAATATATAAGTATACATTTTCACATGGTTGTTCGTACAAAATTAAATTAATGAATTAGGCTTTCCACAAAAATTGATTTACCGCACTGAATAATTCCCTTCTCATGGGCAGGAATAATCAAGAATTCTTAAATAATTTATATATTACCTGATCCGAGCTACTGTTCTTGTAACTCTTATATATGATGCGTGAGAAAAGATAGTCAGCAGTGCGACAGATACGGATATGCAAATGATGGCGGATAGCTTTAATTCTCAGGTTGTTGTTCAGGTATTTAGGAACTGTTTGAGTTCTTAGATTTTTGATGTTTAGGCAACTGCAGGTAAGTTCTTTAGGTTGATGGTGTACGAATTTACTTGCATTCGGTAGTGTACCAGTGTTTGATATCCCATTTAAAACTTTATCTGAAAGTGAATTTTCAGAATCTCTACGCATTAATTCCCCTTGATGAATTTGAACAAAGCAAAAACAACAGTGGTCTGTGCAGAATAATATGCTACCATGATTTATTTCGTTGGCTTCTCAGCAGCTGTTTACAGACTAAATAAATTATGAGGTTTACGTACAGAAATGTTTTAAAATACTTGCGAATTTCACATGATGTCAGTTGACAGAAGGTTCCGCAGTGAGTGAACAGTGCTCAGAAAATTGAGCTTATATAGTTTTTACACGGGCAGTTCAGGTTTAAACAAAATAAATGTATGCATACAATGGCAAAGGAGTTACGTAATAAGGACGAAAGATGCGTAAGATGCTGAATGACTAATAAATTGGTTGAAAATGTACTGACTTCAACTCAAATCATAGAGACAAAAGACCAGCAAAATTACACTATATCAAAGGGTGTGGGGGTGGGGTTAAAGCCGAAGATTATATAATAAAATGAAAGAGACAATAAAGACATCCAGTTACCAGGGTAAGGAGTGACTGATGACTGCTTCTTTCTGAACACATTAATCTAGTTTCAAGCGTTTGATATAAATTTCTTCGACAAACTTGAGGAGAATCGATCTCTTCTGTCTATTGAAAATTTTAAAGGATTTCGCGATTTCCACCTCATGACCCGTATCGAAAAGATGTCAGATATCCACAACTGTCTGGTTTTACAAGGGTTCTGTAACTGATATCAGCTGATGATCATACCTGTAACTTATCGAAAGTTCATGATAATCTGTGATACTTTTAGCCACAGATACACCAGATTTCAAAGAAAGAATACTAAAGTCATGTTTGTTTTATTTTTATAGTATGTAAGTGGCTTGGGCGATTATACAGCAACATCTTTCTGCACCCATACAGAAAATATACAAAGATCACGTAAGTGATTCTCCATTTTGTCTAATCTACTTTAAATCCAATGCACTCTAACTTCAGACATGACATGTTTTTCCTAATGAGAATGTTGATGCTTTTCAAAGTAAGCTTATAAACCATAATTCAAAGAGTATTTTATACCAAAAATATTTTGTAATATTTTGGACATCCTGATAAAAATGCACTTTTTAGTTAAAGGGTTTTTGTGTCAATTCACACTAATTTCAATGTAGATTTCGTCACGAATCAATACCGATTGCAGATTATTCAAAATAAGGTAGTATTGGACGTCGGCTTTACCTAGTTTCGGATATTTTAGCAGTGTGCACCCAGGACGCAACCATTGTTCCTATGTCATTCAATTTTAGAGTTTCCCATCGATTGATTGGATCAAAGCGATCAGTCTCAGGTTGGAATTTCGGCTTCTTGTGGAGATGATTCGGCGATGTGTGGATAAGTAATTAGAAGTTAACTGGTGAATGGTGAGTAGCAGTGGAATCCAAGATGAGCATTTCGTCCTATTCGGGACTCGTCAACCGGATGTACCTGCATTACTCAGTCAGTGATGATGCTCCCACCGAGCCTCAAACCCAGTGCTCGAAGTTTAAAACGCTAAACCGTTATGCACTAGACCACTTGGGCCACGACAGCCACCTCTTATGTAACGGGTCATGCTAATTATTTAATTCACTTTTAGATTTTCCCATCGATTGACTGGATCGAAGTGATTGGTCTCAGGTTGATATGTCGTCTTCTTGAGTCCGAACACTTCGGTCCATTTAATCGACGGGAAAACCTAAAATTGAATTAAATAATTAGTATGACCCGTTACATAAGAGGTGGCTGTCGTGGCCCAAGTGGTCCAGTGGATAATGCTTTGACGTTTGAAACTATGGGTAGTGGGTTCGAGCCTCGGTTGGAACACCGTCACTGACTGACTGATGAATGCAGATACATTCAGTGGCTGGAGAGTCCCGAATAGGGCGAAATGCTCATCTTGGATTCCACTGCTACTCACCATTCACCAGTTACCTTACACTGTTCCTATAGTTACGATTCCAAGCCCATTGATCATTCAGCCACCTTGGCTGCGGATGAGTCACCTGTGAATTCTGACTTCTGTTAATTAATGATATAGCACTTTTTCCAACCAGTATGTTCTATGAGCACCCACTCCACGATAGACGTTTAAATCCAAACATTCACAAATTGATGTTGTCTTCAACTATTCGATGTATATTACCACGAATAACTGGGAATACTAAAAATAGTACTTTTTTGCGTTGAAAGTTAGCATTACATTAGGAAATTAATATTCATTTTACTGAATATAATTGCCAATATGAGGATACAAATACAATAATATAAGAGTAATACACAATGATTATTGAATTCAATTCAGTGCTATAGTTTTATTTTAAATGGCAAACTAGAAACAGCAAATCAATTATTCCAAGTTACTGTGTATGGGAAATGCTTGAATTTTTACTCAAAATTGGTTATTCAAACACATAAAGCTTTTAATTGAGAACACTATAAATTACTAATCGGAGAATTATTTTTTTTTAACAACAGAGACAGGGACTAACTACTACCTTCAAACCTACGGCAAGAATTCCATTTGTTTAAATCATCGTGGAAAATGGATCTATAGTACTCACTACAACCTGACTTTAACTGATTATCTGCAGGGAAGTTGTCATAAAGTAAGCTTTTTTTGCAACTAAATGCCATTTGGATGCTGTTGCAAACATTGTTTTGCCTTCTCTTTTTAGAGTCGCCTTTTAATCCTGTGAACTCATCCATGAGTTCATCGTTACTGGACTGTATTATTTGGAAGAATATTCCACAAGTAGAGATCGGTTGTGGAATATATTCTTTTTCTCCTCCGTTTTAAATTGTATGAAATGTGTGTGAGACTGTATATCGAGGCATCATAAAATAGACTTTTTGGATAGTGCTAGATTATATAAAGATCAATGAGAGATATTTATATATAAGAGGGGGAAAAAAGGAAAATTAATATTTAACATGTACTGTAAAAAATGTTGGTCGGTAACTTTAGAAATTTACTAGGTAATGTATATATGTATATGTATATATACATCGCGTACTTATACATGAAGAGAAGACAGAACTGATGATGAATGTGTCAGATCAACGACCAGCAAATGCCAGTCACCATAAGCTGGGAAATTTCAAAGAAAGGCACTCGTTTCACTTTAGTGGGCAGCAGTGTCTCAAATACATGCAGCACCAGTGTGAATGTCACTACCAGTCAGGACTTGAACAGCAAGACAGTCATTTGCCATCCTAAAATCAGTGTAGAGTTCTACCTTGTTCAACACAAAGAAAAGGATCCAAATTTCTAACACTGATGTTAAATCACTCCTTCTGTATGCTTAAATGAATTGAGGCACTCGATACCGAAATCATTCCTAACTGACTGCAAGCTCACAAAGATAACATGGAGATCATGTGAAAGGGAAATGAAAGCCTATGTGAAGTTAAGGATCCATTTGAATGTGATGGCAGAGAACTGGATGCAGTGAAAACCTGCTTCTGAAACTATGTGTCTCAGTCGGAGCTGAAAGAAAGAGTAATAATAATGCTGACATATAAACAATGGTTCAGCGGAAATCAACAGTAAGTGAACTCACCTCTCTACATATCCCACTTACAAAATATTCAATGCCATGTGGCAAGTGATATCTGTGATCATAATTGATGTAAACTGTCAAACTAATTGTGGTTCATATTATACCCTACAATGTTTCAAAATTCGGTTTTCAGAAATTCTGTAAACATTAATTCAATTTTAAGTAGATTTTACGGGATTTTTAACTGTGTGAATTAGTTATTTCAAGTACACTGTTCAGAAATGCGTTTGAAAGTGTTTCAGAAGGTGCACCTTTACAAGAAGTCACCCACTGGAGACTTATACTTTAATATATACATATGCCAGTGAACTGTCTCCAGTTCCGATAAAAATGCACATAAATCTAAATCGCTCAATTGCGAAGCATTAAGCAAATAATACTGTGTTTTGAAGTGGAGTTTGTTATCAGCACAAATATCGTTTTAACCTCTTGATAAAACTTTGGTGTCTGAATATGAATGAAATATTTTCTAAAACATACTTCCTGTTAGATTAAATTTCTTTAAATAGCTTATCTCATCATTTCAAATGATTTATTTATAAACTTTATACATTTGGTTCCCTTGATAAATCTCAATAGAGAAAAGAAGACAAAATTTGCAGTAAAAACGTTATCATTCTATTTCAAAGGTTTTCATCAGCTGCAGACTACTTGAAATTACATACTTTAATGTTTGAGTGGTAGTAGAGAAGAAATACTATAAGATTGACTCACCCAAAATGAAAGCATTACAATCGTTAGTTTAAGTTTTCATCGTCAATTTATACTCTGCCGAAGCTATAGCAACCAAACGACTTAAACCAGACTTATGCATACAGACAGTAAGGATGATTAACCTCTCACTGTCTTGGTAACTGAATTCTAATTTTGATTACATTAATCAGTCATTTAATTAAGTGATCTCAACTCACTGAACAATCTTAATCTCATTAACTGTAACCGCTTTAGTTTTTTGAGTTGCTATGTGAACCTACAAGCTAACACTGTTCTGTTAATTAATTCTTTCTGTTTTCTGTCTTACCCTTCCCTCCTCTTTTCAACTTTGAAAGCGTATAAATTGATAATGAAAACTTAAGCCAAAAATTGTAATGCTTTCATTTCGGATGCGTCAGTTTTATAATATCTCTTCTCTACTATCACTCAAACATTAAAGTATGTTATTATCATATATATAACCGTTGTAATTCCAGGCAGTCTGCAGCTGATGAAAACCTGTGAAATAGAATGATATCATTTTATACTGCAAATTTCCTCTTCCTTTCTTTTTCCAGATTTGTGTATGAATTTGATGTTTACTTGTCTTTTAAGTACTTCTTGAAGCCTTAACACACAAACAACCACCCAGATATCCACTAAATAAACAATAACATCGTTATGCATGGATGTATATTTCCAGATAGTTAGTCTTTACAATGAACATTTTCTTCAGTATTCATTTCACTTCACGTGTAACATGTTCTTGACCATAAATTATCCAGATATTTCAGTTTTTGTGTATGGCGGGGGTGCTAGTGATTCATTAACGAAACCACAAATTCTGTGTGGAGAGAAGGTTTGTTCAGTGTCTAATTCTACCATTGTCTTAACGTCTTTCCGACTCATTCGCTTCTGTTTCTCACAATCAGTTAACTACTGTCACTTCTACATGTTCCTTCTGCATAATTTACTAAGTGTCGTTTTCCACCTTCTTCACATTTGTCAAGTGGATACTCAACTCATCCTTGCTTCTCATCGAATAACAATTTTCATCTTACCAAATTTTAAATCCTTAATTCTCTTGTTTCTTTGACTATTGCGTAAATATTCACCTTTCGGAACCACTTCTGAGTAATTCTGACAGTTATGTCACTCTCCTACTACTCAGTTACATACCACTGTACAATTTTAATGAACATAAACACAATTGTGCAGCCTTCGAGCTTTGTTTGCTGAATTGTTTTATTTTCTTCATTTAGGCATTTCTTGTCATGTATATAAGGAGAATATTTCATGAATGTCAAACCTGTCGAACTTGACTTCTTCTACATACTGTATCAGAGTAACTGAAAAGATTATAATAAGAATGGTAAAGCACCATCAGTGGTACAATGGTAGAATACTCGCCAATCACTCAGAGGATTCCGAGTTCAATCTCCGGCCACCAACGCACTCGTAAACCTTGCCAAGCGAGTAATATGACTAGTAAAAAGGGAATGTTCAGCATGAAGCTAGCAACCATACCCCATAAAAATAACAAAATTTCAAAGCTCTATCTTAGAGCCTTATATTCCACTGGGAACGTAAAGGAACAAATAAATAATAATAATAATAAGGAAAGCACCGTGTAAAACATCTCTATAAATCATGCACTGCATCCTGTTAGCTCTTGACACAATTCTACATATCGAAGAATTATCCCGACTTGCTCAAATCACGCTTCTATATCAAAAAATCCAAAAGTTGGACATGCATTGTACTTACACTGTATGGAAATAAAACCCTTCTGAGAATAAAACTGAACTAGTGTGGTTAGAGCAGACTGCTAGCGAATCGGCAGACATTAATCTACGTCAATATCTAGGTCACTAATATTGGCCGTGAGAAAATATGAACAAGGCTGATTCAACAACCAATCACAGCAAACTTAACGTGGGCAAATATGATTCGCAGATAGATGGCCCCACTTTCCGAGAAATCTCTAAAACAACCAATCGGATGGCTGTGTTTGTCTGCTTAACTTCCGAGAAAAAACCAATCAGAAAACTGCGTTCATCTACTTGAATAAGCTATGATAATGTACATGACATATATAAATACGTGCTGATTTCCGTAATAAAATGATCTGTTGCCGGCCCTTGTCTTCTGTTGTTACACTAGGACAACTTCCTTTTTATGACTGCAAATATAACATTTGTAATTAAAATATTAATAGATATTCATAATTTCTCCACCCCTTCTTCTGCCTTGGGTATAATTACAATTTCTACTACTTTGTTAATAAGACTTGTTGAGTATTTGTATGGCAGCTTAGCAACATCCTTTTCCTAACCAAATCCTTATTTACTCCTTCTATTACGTAATTTATTTTGGATAGATATGAGATTCTCAATTCGTGCGTTAACTAAAATTTACGCAGTTCAAGGAATGACTATTTACTATAATTTATTTAGGAAACCAAGTTATTCAGATCATAGTATGTTATCTGTATGATACCTTCAACGGTTATCTAGAAAGCAAGAATAATTACTAAAAAATAATATGTACCACTGATCGACTGGAATGAGTTCTTGTATGCCATTCAGATTAACCAGTAGTAATCCCTAATCAAATATTTGGTGGTTTAAACTTATTCAGCTGTCTGAGCTGGATGAAATCCGGTACACAACCGATGACCCTAACCCCAAGCGACTGAAAATATCATTTTGATCTGGCTAACACTCTCTATTGATTATTGTGAATGGTTTCCAAATGCTCATTTCGGTTAATCTGTAGATGTTTACGGAGAATGTCATAAGGATTTTCCGCCGATGTGCCATTTCTTTTATTTCTTTAAATATATTTGATGTCAGCGAATTCTAACTGAATCCATTTACATAATTTTTTGTCCATTTTTTCCAGTATGAATGTACACGTGATAAAAAACTCAATGTTTACTTTAAAAGTGCCAAAGTGTCATGTCAAAGAAGCGGTGAAGTTCAATTTAGTGTAAGAGACGGAAATGTTAAACTTACTGGAGCAATAGTATGTCCAAATCCAAAGATATTTTGCAAGGTGAATATAATGAGTGTATATATTTTATTTAGATTTTTCCGTGTCTTAAATGCTCAGAAGGTTCTTTAGATCATTGTATAGGATAAATTAACTCTTTTGTATACTGGCAAAATTGAGCGAATATTTTTTTGGGGCCAACGTTGGTTCTGGGAAATATTTTTGTATTTGTTACAGGGTTTCGGCAACAATATCATGAATTATACTGATTTCACTAAAGAACATAGAGTACCTTTTTTGTGATGAAACAAGTTCGTTTGATGAGTCGATCTTTGGGTCAGAGAGTTAAATAAAGTTCAATAATGGTTACTTTGAGTTAAGTTTTGTTGCAGACTGATGCCAGCGATTCAATCAGATCAACCATTTAAGAAAGCTAGCAAAAGTTATCTGTGAGCAAAGCGGTCAAATTGTTTATTCATACCAAGGCATTGTGTCCTCTAAGGGAATACTAGTTCACATTGTGAAGTATTGAGATTATTTACAGAATAAAACTACAATCCGACTATGTCTCACAATGAAAGCATTCAAGTATTCATTTGTAGGGATTGGATTGATTTGTCACAGGATTTCATCATGAGCTGACATCTGTTAGAGAACCACTAGAAAACCCCGGAGTACTGGAAAGCTGTGTCATCAACCTCTTTTGAGACACTTAAACATTAGGCACCCATTCCTTTGGATTACAAGGCAAGCTTGTAGACCATTGAACTACTGGGACCCTGAATTTCAACTTCTGCCAATTCACGACATAGCACGACCACTAGCCAATGTCATTGGTGAGTATTTGGGTTCACAACTGACCTGCTGTATCCTACCGGTGGGTATTAGCACACTTCGATAAACAGGCCAGATATACCAGCAAGATTTCATGAAAATTCAACAAACACACGTTTAACTTTTGAACTTACTGCCTCTTTTATTCCATTACCAAGTGCAGATATAAGCAACAAGCAACATTTTCTGATACAAGTGCAGCAAATATAACTCAGCTCAAGTACACAAGCCGACTTTATGTAGGTTACGACGAAATTTTAAAACAAACTTTCGTTTAAAAAGCATATAAAAAATATACCTTTTTGTTAAACCACCATAGCAACAGACTACTACTACTATACTACAGATCGTGGTGATACTCAATAAAGCCATTCATAAGATAACTTCTAGAATGCGATCTAGTTTAACAGCATTTCGTGAACGTTAAAGACATAATTGTTTGTAGTTCTGGTTATACTGAGATGATATGTGTTGTGTGTGTGTGTGTCAGCAATTTGCCCATTTCATTTTTATTTCCACCGTTACTTAGATGGCATATGATAATTCATTGTGATGACACATGGTGGAAGCATTTCTAAAAAAAATTAATTTTGAATAACAAGTTATCTAACATGCTCTCAAATAATCCCATTTTGGAGTTCTTAATGTGATGCTCAAATAGAGTTATTCTACTGTAGGCTTTTATGATCTTTTGTTATTTTACCCTTGCAAAATATTTAATAACCTTGTTTCTCTATAAATTCTCTATTCTTTTCAGTGATTAGTGTCATCGTCGCTTGAAACTGAAAATATACTACCTTCAAAGTTATGCTACCCTAATTACTGTGGATCAAAGTGTATTTTTATAAATTTGAAATAACTATTAACTCTGATCAATCTATTTCAAGTGTCATTCGTACACAAATGTACCTCAGATGATGCAAAATTATACCGAAATAAATTATACTGCTTTCATTGATTTCACAGTTAATTTCTTCAATGTTTTTGGAATTTAAAGATCTGTTTATTGAAATACACAATAAATAAAACCAAAACAGGATTAAGGTGGACTTCATTTATGAGGGGTAAATTTATGGCTGCTAAGTTCACTTACGCATCGGATGAATTGAAAAGGATAGACGTCTGCGCCTGAGTTACATTTGAAACTGTCAACTGTCTGATGGGATTAGATGGGTTGAGGGCTATCTGCAGGAAGCCTTGGATCTAGGTTTCATGCTAGTCGGCGCTCACCAGTCAGAAAGGCGTCTCTGCAACCTTGAAGGAAGTCATATCCCTTTCGAGATTTGAACCGACGTCACCCAGCGCTGCATTTGCAGACGCTACCACTGAGCTATTCGCACTCGCAATCGACCTCTTGTAGGATGTGTCCATCATTCTAGGTAGCTAGCCATAACGGTGCACATTGATTTGATGATATGATTTGATTCACTGTGCACCAAAGGAAGGACTAGACATATCACACTAGTTATTAGTGTCCAATCAAAATAAAAGCACTCTTTTAAGAGAAGTTTCTTCCATGAATGTTGAACATACAAAACTTTAATTACGGCATAAAAATGGATGCACGAATTCACTCGATATTAACTAAAGTTCAGAATAAGTTAGTGGTTTGATCACGAGCTAACATTGGTTAGGTAACCATTTGAACACTCGAATGACTTGATTCAAATAACTTATACATTTTTCAAGATATTTTTCAACACATTTTATGCACTAAATGAAGTCTTTATGCAAATTGTCGATGGTGTTCGTATTTACTCAAGTTTTGGAGATTAGCATCAGTGTTTACGTAAGAGATAACAGACAATAGGTTATAAAGTAGTACTACTGTTGTGATATGAAGTTAACATCATGTCAGTTTCCAGAAAAATATTTCGTTTAGCGTTCTACGTAAGGAAGTTAAGATACTCTAATATCACTCAGTCTCTACTCTCTAAGTTTTTTAATTCTTGCGTTCTGCCTATACTCCTTTACTGCTCCCCCTTAATCTTTCCCGGGCTACTCAAGAAAGACTCTGTCGCTAGGTTGACTGGGTTGTCACTAGACTAAATCGCTAATAATTTTGCAGGTAGATACATGAACTCCTGTAAGAAATGTGCAAATATTATCTTATTAAACCCTTAGCACCCTCTCTACACAACAAACCCCTTGTATCTCATCAGGTATAACTGCATGTTCAGATGACTGAGTATAAAAGATCTACAATATCTTATTTGGAACATACGTTATGTGGTCAGAAAACAGTTAGGCATTAAATTACCAAATTACTGTGAGACACTAAGTAAACAGCCCTATTTTTTAGCTGTTATTCCATATTTGTTAGAACCTCCGTTTAATTTAAATTTATATTCACATTCATATTCGTCAATATTATTATTATCCATGTGATGAGAAATTTAGATGCAATTCTCTCCTGTATGCTGAAAATCCTATACTTGTAGTCAAAATACTCTTTCACATAAAGCCATTATTATTACTACGTGTGTGAAATCTTTATTTACTTACAGAGCTGTTCATGTAAATGCTTGAACAGCGGTGCATTCAAAAATCTTGAAAAAAACACATTGAGAAATCAATCCTTCAAATACAGTTTACAGTTTACAATTTATTTAGGATAGTAGGCTATATGCCTGTGTTAATCCTTTCGATTTATTGCATACAGGAGGTCCAATCTCGCCTTGAATGAATCAACGGATGGCGCTGATACGACGTGTTCCGGTAGGGAGTTCCAATGGTTCACAATTCGATGCGAAAAACGGATTTCCAGACGCAGACGATTCGACCGTGGTTTTTGAACCTTGAGGTGATGTCCTCGCAATTGGTTGGTGCTAGAAGGAAGAAATAATTTAGATAAATTAGCTCCAAAATCATTTCTTAGGATACGGTATGCTAGTATTAGGTCACCCCTAAGTCGTCTGTATGACAGTGGAAATAAACCCAGTCGACTTAACCTCTCCTCATATGACAGGGTTGAGAAACCCTTTATTAGCTTAGTTCCTACTCTTTGCACCCTTTCTAATAAGTCTATTTCGTATTTGAAACACGGGCTCGCTGCCTGGATCCCATATTCCAAATGAGGTCTGATATAAGTCGGATATAATATACGAAATATATCAGCGTCAAAGTTCGCAAAAGCCTTGCGTATGGCCCATAACATTCTAAAACCCTTAGTGGCTGCAGTTCTACAGTTTGTTGCTGTTTTCAAGTCATGCTGCACAACCACTCCCAAGTCCTTGTACTCAGTGACCACTGGGAGAGTAATGCCATTCATTGAGTAATTGTGCACGTGACTATGGGATACATGCATAACTACACTCTTGCTTAAGTTAATCTCCAAGGCCCAGTGCTTACACCAATCACTTAACAAGTTTAAATCTTCCTGCAAAGCAAGTTGATCACTGTCATCGTGCAAAGCCCTCCATATCTTGATGTCATCAGCAAACAGTAAGCAGGATGACTTAACTACCGATGGAATCTCATTAACATAAATCAGGAAAAGAAGTGGGCCTAGAATTGTACCCTGAGGAACGCCACTCTTAACCGATTCCCATGTTGATAAAACCCCGTTAACTCGTACTCTTTGTCTTCTGTCCTTTAGAAAGTCTTGAATCCAGTCGGTAACCACTTTATTGATTCCCAGACTACCTAACTTTACTAGAAGACCTGAATGAGAAACCCTGTCAAACGCCTTGCTAAGGTCTATGAATATGGCATCCACCGGTATATTAGCATCAGCTGAGCTTGCCCAACTTTCTCTGGCCAAAAGAAGGTTGGTCAAGCAAGAATGACCTGCTCTAAAACCGTGCTGTTCCACAGCGAAAAGTTTGTTCCCTTCAATGAACTGAATGATAGCATCACGAATTATTCTTTCTAGTAGTTTAACAACAATACTGGTCAAACTAACAGGACGATAGTTCTGAACTAAGTTTCTAGATCCGGTTTTGAAGACCGGACTAATGATGGCATCTTTCCAGTCTCTTGGACATTTAGACTGGTCCAGAGACATATTGAAGATTACCGACAATGGCTCGGCTATGCTTTCAGCCAATGCTGTTAATATACGTGGGTGGAGTTCATCAGGGCCACTGGACTTACCAGGATTGAGCCTTAGAAGCCACTTTAGGACAGTATCCTTTCCAATGTATAAGGGTGCCATTTTCAAGTTACCTTTTGGAAAATTTACAAAGCTGGTATCAATATTATCAGAGAATACTTGACTAAAGTGCTTGGACAAAGCCTCATGAAGCATTACTTCTGGAAATAGGTCGCACAACTTAGTGAGATTTTTATTTCCTTGATGATTTGTTTTCGAATTTCACAAGTCAAGTATAAACACCTGTGTGAACATTAAGAACCTTGATAATATTTCAGGGGAACAACAAAGTTTAGCTTGATTTTTAACAAAATAACAAAATAATTTCCTATATTCCAAAACAGTACTAATGATACAGTGTGGAATTTTCAGCATTTGGTATAACATTGCATCTGATTTTATCGAGTAACATTTAAAAACAATTATAAAATAATAATACAGGATTGCTAGTGACAGTCCTTATTTGGTATCTGTAGTGATTTTGAAATCATGTATATGCCGAAGGAAAGTAAATCATAATAATAAATTCAGTAGCCAAGATTGACGGTTAACTGAGATATCGTCACCATGGGTTACAAATAAGAGATGATAAAGGAGACAATTATTTTGCTAACAACATAAAAATTCGTAATATCGTGCTTAACATTGTCTCTATCTCATGGAACATTGGTTAAATATGGTATCTTTGAGTTTCTATACTGGGTAGTACGAGCATATAATCTTTGATATTGATTTCTGGCCGTACCAGATGAGACAAAATCGGAGAGGTGAGGATAGAGGGGGTGTTCAGGGTCAGACAATATAGATTTAGACCATTTCTCGCATCATTTTAGATGTAGTGACAAGCTGACTAAGTTGCAAACCACTTGCGCTGCAAACAACCCTTAATGCCTTCTTAAGGTGACGTAGTCATTTTTCAGCAGACTGGGAAAGACTAAGGGTGGAGAAAAGTAAATTATTTTTTTTTTGATTTACAGCTTGACTCCACACTGTATTTATGGTACAAGTATGGAATTTTCAGCATGGATATCGGTAGCCCAAATTTTGCAGGCCGACCATAGATATCAGGTGTGCGCCGGCGTGGGCTCGAACCCCGGACCATGTACATGGTCGGCGAGAGTCCTAACCACTATGCCACCGACGCACAATAGGTAACATACAAGAGTGAACAAACTGTAAAAGCAGAGGTTGAATAATCCCAAACTGTTGTAGCTTCTTAATGTAACACCTCAGACTGAACTTTTTCTTGGAGATCAATAAAATATGGAATTATCAAGATCAGAGGATAGAACTATACTAAGGTATTTTGTGTTAGACCTAGTTCCTATTACAGTCCTCTCCATGTTACAACCATCATGTGTACTGACCAGTTGTTTTAGATCACGTCTGTGTCAAAAACAGAAATCAAAAATCTGGAATTTTGAGGGACTGACAGTCAGGCGATTTAGCTTAAACCACCGACTGATGTCTGACAGTAAGCTATTAAATTTGCAACAGTCGAATCGGGACTTGAGAGAAAGCGAGACGGTTAGATCTTCAGCGCATTTGACGAAGTTAATTTCATTAGAAAGAGCTAAGTCATGTAAAAGTGAACTGAAATAGTTCAACAACTAAATGGTATTTTCTCCGTATTTTGCTAGATGTAGTTACTTATAAGATTAATAGAGTGGCTAGTGAATGGATAAAGTTCTCTGATGGTCAGACTTTCGTGTAAAGAAATATAAGACTAATTATTATTATAGTTTCCTTTGATTCCTAGAGGGACATCGGGCTTCAGCTGCACGTCTCCACTGCGAGCGGCTCTCCGCCAAAGTTTTCACCTGACTCCAGGTCTGCTCACATGCTTTCATCTC